ACAGTGGCTACAGCAGTAGGACAGCCAGCAGTAACCAGGTCCCAAGCAAGAAATCTCCTTTGCTTCAATAAGATCCACACCTATAACAAGAACAAAAGAACCGACCAGTGGTTCAATGGATCCACCTACCAGTATTGTGCCAGTGCACTTTGTCCAAATAGGAGCAGAGATAAGACTATCCCAAAGGCCACACCAATCTTAGCACCTATCGGAAGCAAAGACAATCGACATTCAGTAGTCCCTCCACTAGTAGAGAAGTCTTCTCCTACACCATCATACCTCACCCCTACTGCAGCATCATCCAGTAGAAGTGTAGTAGTTCCTACACCTTGTACATCACCACTCCAGTTAACCACCAAACCCTTGCCAAGTGAATCAACAAACACCAGTCCTACTGTCACACCCAGCTTCCTCTCAGGAATCTTCAACTCACCTGGACCAGTTAACACTCCAATTCCAGTAGAAGAACAATGTCCAGTTTCTACTCCAACAGAATCCCAACCGGAACCATCCAGATCTCCAGTTGGTCCTAACCCAGAAGAAGGACCCACTGATAGGCAACCAAATAAGCCAGAAGACGGTAACCCAAAACCTAGTGACCAAGAAGATGAAGGAGACATGTCTGACAACAACAGTGGAGCAGTGAACAAGCACAACCAATTCAAGGGAGACAAAGGAAAGAGTAAGGAATTCTTGGACAAATTATACCTATACTTCAAAGGAAACTCCAAGAAAATCCAGACCGATAAGGATAGGGTTCAATGTGCCCTTTCATACATCAAAGGACCTGCTCAATTCTTTGTTCACACAATCATCAATGATGCACAGGAACCCATCTCTGACACTGAAGATGTGCCACTCAAAGGATTACCCAGCTGGGCTAGCTTCAGGAAGTCCTTCATCCAGACCTTTGGAGTAGAAGACAACACTCAGGCAGCATTGAATGAGATCAGTAAATGCGCCTGGGCAAAGTGTAGAGGAAATGGTCTTTGATTTGTCACAACCCTTCAACCTCTCTTACAGGCTAGCAGATTAAATGAATTAGGTCAAATTCGAGAACTCCAGCATCTCATTCCTCCTGCTCTTCTAATCAAGATTGCTGCCCAACCCCCATTACCAACTACAGCTGTAGGATACCTCAACAGTGTTCAATCTATCTGCCAATCTATGATTGATATCTTCAGTGATAAACCCTTATTCATGCCATCCACCAATTGCTCCTTTGTTTGCAACAAATTTGCATGTTGTAATTGAGCAGTTGAAACCAGGGATGGATCATCAAAGGAAGTATCATTGAATGATCAATGTATCTGACGTCTGTCAGATAAAGATCATAAAGAGCACATGGATAAGAAGTTATGTTTCAGGTGTCACAAACCTGGGCATCAAAGTTGTTAATGCCCGAACAATTGCATCAGGGCAATTGAGTCCCACAAATCATCCACTCAGGAGAAGGATGAAACCAACGATTCCTCCGATGAGGAGGGAGTAGCCCAAGAGTACATTCAGGCTATATCCTCTGAGAAGGATTTTTAAGGTCTTCAATCACTGTGACATTGAATCGAAGTAATGGCGCTAAGGACAATTTATATCAGGCGAGATTAGCTCACAAATCTATTTATTTGCCCTGTATATTGAAAACATATGCCAAAACTGTCACCACTGAGGCATTGCTTGACACTGGAGCAATGGAGAATTACATTGATATTCAGTTTGCTTGGGATCACAATCTCCAGCATCAGAGCATCACATCCAGACCAGTATTCAATGTTGATAGATCACCAAATAAAGCTACATCCATCAAACATAAGGTCTTCTTCACTATATCCTTATCGGGACACCCAATGAAGATAGAAGCCTACACCACAGTACTTGATAGGAATCCCTGTTACAGCTTCACGGGGAGTTTCTTTCTTTTTCCTACTATTCGTTGTTGACCCTGTACTATACTTCTGATCCCATCACTTGATGCTTCATCAAGTGTTTCATATCTATCACTTGTCACTTGTCTCATGTCTTACTTACTTTGCATTTCATATCTATTATGTCTCGTCTCCGTCACTGATACAACCTAGTGACACCTGTCTCCTGTCTGCATCACTGATCCAACTCAGTGTTTCATACTTATTAAACTCTATTCATTCTCTTATTTAAGTAGCACTGCTCGCTACTCTGTTACTTTAGTTTGTCCTCCTCTTGTTTTCCCTACGTACCTTCATAGGGACAGTCCTCAGTAATAGACTCAGTTGTCTAGTCCAGTCTCAGTCTGAAGTGTAGCTTCAAACAGTATACTTTCTCAAACCACTGCCAGTTGCAGTGGCTCAAGTCTTTCAGTCTAGTTCTAGTATAGCATGTTAGCCTTACGCGTAGCAGTACCTTTTGTCAGTAGTAGTCTTAAGTGGAACTCCTGATCCTCAGTCATCAGGTCCCTTAACAATCCCATCATCCTAGGTCTCTCTTGGTTCAAACGTTTCAACCCAGTAATTGATTGGGTTACTGGGAAAATGTGCTTTTGTTGGGATCAACTACTACAAGCAATCAAGACTCTTGCTAGTAACATTCCAGCATACCTGAATACCTTCCTCTCTGTATTCAACAAAAGCACAGCAGAACAGCTACCAGAACAAAAAACCTGGGATCATGCAATCAATTTGGAAGCAAACTTCAAACCTCAATGAGGAAAGGTCTATCCACTATCACCGGCAAAGCTCAAAGAGCTAGACACCTTTATCGAGGAAAACTTGCGCAAAGGCTATATCCGACCATCAAAGTCCCCTATGGCATCCCCATTCTTCTTTGTCAACAAGAAATCAGGAGATCTACAACCCTGTCAGGACTATAGGAAACTCAACGATGCCACCATCAAGAATGCCTACCCTATCCCATGAGTAGAAGATCTGTTGGACCGTATTGCCTCTGCCAAGCCAACTATATTCACCAAACTTGATCTACGTGCAGGATACAATAATGTGCACATCAAAGAAGGTGATGAATGGAAGGGAGCATTTATTACTCCACAAGGCCTATTCAAGCCGACAGTCATGTTCTTTGGAATGACAAACTCCCCAGCAACTTTCCAAGCTATGATGGATGGTATCTTTGCCGATCTATTACTAGAAGGATGGTTAGTGATCTACATTGATGACATCCTCATCTATTCCACCAATCATGCAGAACACCAACAACACACTCAATTGGTTCTCCAACATCTGAAAGAATCAGATCTGTTTCTCAAACCTGAGAAGTGCTTCTTTGACGTATCAGAAGTTGAATTTCTAGGCTTTATACTCCGATCAGGTCAAATAGGGATGGCAGAAGATAAGATATTGGCAGTACTAAATTGGCCAAAGATTGATAGTGTCAAAGCACTACAACGGTTCCTAGGATTTGCCAATTTCTACCAATGATTCATTCCAGGGTATTCTAAAGTGGTGCAACCCCTATTCAACCTATTGGTAAAAGGAATCAAGTGGAGTTAGACAGATGATCATAACAAAGCCATCAATCAACTCAAGGAATGT